CCCCCCCCCTCCCCCCCCCCCCCCCCCCCCTCCAGTTCCCCGAAATGAATGAGGTCAGCCGGGAGGACGAGCAGAACGGCAGCGCGCTGATCACCTTTGCCATCCAGAACGCGGGGCTGCTGACGGGGTTCACCATCATGGTGCTGCTCACCATGTACTCTGGCCAGATCCAGATAGGGTAGGACCAGCCCATCTCGCAGCCCTGTTCCAGTTTTTCTGTTTTTTTTTGGGGGGAAGGGGTATTTCTTTTTTTTTTTTTCCTTTCCTTTTCCTGCTGCAAGCATACGATGGTACCTGTGCAGGCACTGACATCACGCTACGGAAGAAGAGGCATTGCTTTTAAAGCTATTCCATAGACTTCATTTTCTTTTGGTTTAAGGCTGAGGGGAGCTTAATCCCCTTTGCCGTAGGACCGAACTGACCGGAGGATCTCTTTCCAGTGTTGTATCCCTTCTCTCCTCGCGTCTCCTGGGAAGGATGGAGTTGGGAGACAGGAGCTCCTCTAGCCGTGTTGCTCCCTTCCTTGTGCTCGGAGTGGTGCGATAGGATGTGACGCTCTCCTGACCCCTTTGCAGGGGGTGCGTGACGGGGGGCCGTGGGGTACAGGGCTAGCGCTGGACGCGAGCTGCCTCCGCCTGCTCACCTACCAGGGAATGGATGCGCAGGGGGTGAAAAGTACCACCACAAAGAAGGGGAACGGGGACCCGCCGCGTTCTCCGGCGTCGCGCGAGGAGCTGGTGTTTCTCTTCTGCGTGGGGAGGTGGTATCCCGCTTCGGGAGCGCACAGACCAGGACAGACCCTCCCTCTGAGAGAGTTACCTACCAGCCAGTCCTCGGAGCTGTGCTCTCCAAGCACAGAGGGCTGCCGAGGAAGAGGAGGCTCAAGGAGCACGGCTCACGATCTGAGCATCATCCTTGCTGTCTTCAGAAACATGTCTCTGGAGCCACGTCTGGTTTTGCTCCCGTTTTGCCTTGGCAGCCCGGACGATGCCCTGGGAAGAGCAGGGTGAAGAGGGGTTTGTTTTTTTGGTTTTTTGTTTTTTTAAAGCACATTTTGGGTGTCAGCTCTCGGAGCAGAGGACACCAAACCGCACCCCGTGCGGGTCGGACTGACGGACGCGGGCTGCATGGGGCAGCGGCTGGGAGAAGGCTAGCGGGATGCTCTTAACCTCCCTTAGGTCCCTGCTGCTGTACGGGGAGAAAAAAAAAAACCAACCCTTCTCCTTCCACGAGGGCAGCCGTGCGGCGACGCTGGCGAGAAGGGCACAAGAGCAGCGCGGGGCAAGGGCAGAGCCGGCACGGTGAGCCCCTGCCCAGCCACGGGCTCCCCAGCCAGGGAAGCGGTCCTTACACTGTGACCAAGCTCACGCCGACACCTGGGAACGGACACCGGTTTTTAAACACTGATGCTGCTGAGTTGCTGAGATTCAGGGTGGGGTGGGGGGGTTTGTTTTTTTAAAAAAAAAAAAAAAAAAATAGACTGTGAACCTCTCTAGGTTGTGTGTTTTCAGCCTTAGGGAGTAGCCAGAGAAGGGTGTTACAGGCACTTCACAGCTCTGCTTCTGGGCTGGCTTTCCCCAGATTCACTAGGTGAATTGACTTATTATCATATTGATAATGTTGCCCACCCCACCCGTGTTGCTTGAGGTTCCCTTGCACCCCCTTCTCCCCCCAGACCTTATCCTGCACCCGGTAGTGCTGAGTTTGTGGCCACGCTGATAAGCGGGAGCCGATTTAGGCGGCTTACCTTCGTGGGTACGGTGCTGGATTGGGATGAAGGCGTGGTGCAGATGGCTTTGAGAAGCGCTTTGGTGTACGTGCCAGGGATGGCTTGTCACTGAGCCTCTTCCTTCGCTCCCTGCCTGTGCAGGTGGCCGTGGGTGTGTGTGATGGGGTGACGGCCATCCTGCCGCCTCGGCTCGGTGCTGCTCGGCACCGGGGGCTGGAGCTGAGTCTCCCCACACCTTCCCCTCCACCCCTGTTGGAAAGCAAAGCGGAGGGTGTGCCGGGTATTTTTCCTGCCCATCACAAGAGAGACAAGGGACCTCAGCCCTTGGCATAGCCTGGGGCAGGCTCAGCACCATCCAGTAGCATCGTACCCTGGTTTGATCGCTGGCTGCCGGTACCACACCGTCGTTCCTAATTTGCCTTAGGTACCAGCTGGATGACGTTCCTCTTAGGCTCCTAACAGTTGTCCCCGAGTCCCTAGGTCTCTGCCTGTTGAGACGTGGCACTGCCAGTATCCTCGTGGATCGGCACCTCTGCTCTCGGTGGCTTTGGCTAGGCGAGGCACTGACTTTGTCCCCTTGGCACCCAGGAGGCTGTTGGCTTTGTCCCGCACCCAGAAGGTTAAATATCAGCATGTCAAGGAGCAGGGAGCCTTACTTGGGAGCACTCTTCAACCCAGAGGTACCACACGGTCCTCGGGCCTCTTGCTGCCGTGGGTGATGCCTTCAAGGAGAGACGGGCTCTGCTTCACCCCGTGCAGGGTCTCTTGTTCATGTGGACAGTCATTGTAAGTCACTATTCCCTCTGCGGCCGGTCCATGGGGCAGAGCCACCTCGAAGCAGCATGGTCTGTCCTGGCTCGGGCACCCAGCCACCTCTGCAGGACCTCACGGTCATTACCCATGCTTTAGGTTGCTGCTATTTTTCGGTAGTCAGGAGGGAAAAACTCCCTTTATTAAAACTCCCTTTCCCTGCTTGAGAGAGCTGCAGCCCCATCTGACCAACTTGATGTGGAAAAACTGAGTCCTTTGAATGGCATATGTGCCCTCTTTTCTATCTCAAGGAATTATTTGGAAAACACCGTATCGCTGGCAGCTTTCCACGGGGCAGAGGGCAGCCGTAGCGCTGCCAGGGCTAAGTCGTGGCTGGCAGGAGCGGTTCAGCGGTGCGCACAGATGGAAAAGCCTCAGTGTTGGAGGCGAAGGCGGGGAAATCTTCTTGTCTGTCCCCCGGGGATCGCGAGGCGCTTGCAGACTGTGGCCGGGAGGTCCTCTGTGTCCCCGAGAGCTGGAAACGTGGCAAGGACTGACGCTTGGCTTCCTCGGAGCCGGTATGGGCCCCTCGGCACACGGTGGGGATCGTGAGTCCGTCGTCTTCTTGTTTCAAGTTTAACCCTGTTTCTTGCCAACCGAGTTGACTTTGAGAAATCTGCAACGCAGAGATTTGGGGGGAGGTGGGGGGGTGAAACCCCTCGGAGAAACAAGGCTCCTCGCAGAGAGGGACCCTCGCTCCGCTGAGAGAGAGCTCCTGTCCCTGGCTTGGGCAGGCTGGTACCCGCCGTCGGGGAAGGGATGGGGCAGGCGGGAGGACGAGGAGGGAAAGTGACCCAAATCGAGCTTGTTAGGGATTTTCATCCTTGTTTCCTTTCCCGTGTCTGGTTCGAAGCTCAAGTTCCATCTCAGTATTTCAATAACTCAGGTGTTGTAAGAGAGACGCATTGAAACAAAGAACATAACTTATGTCACGTGAATTGTAAAGTTATTTGTAAAATTCCATAAATAAAATATATTCTATAATGACGGAGGGTTGCAGGCGTGCTCTAGCGGTGGAAACCTCCCCGTGGCCAGAGCTGGTTGGGGTGTGAAGGGGTGGGAGCTCCGCCGGTTCAGGATTTTTCCAAAGGGAAGGGTTTGAGCCGGGCTGGAAGGGCTGGGTGATGCAATCCCGCTTTTCCAGCCCCGATTTCCAGGGCTGTGCAGTGCGGCGCGCCCGACGGAAGATGGCACTGACACCACCACCCCCCCCGCCTGCCCGCGTGGCACAGCGCTCCAGAATTGCCTTTAGAGTCAAAAAGCCCTTTTTAATTTTTTTTTTTTTTTTTCTTTAAACATATTTCCAAGCTTTGACGTTTGGCTGGAGGGAGGCTGAGGTTTCGGAGCGGGTCTGTGGGATGTTGTATTCCTCTCCAGCTCGCACGAGGGAGCCTGACTCGGAGCAGCGTTATTTGTGTCCCTGCCTCCCCGCCTGCATTAGGGGAAGAGGGGGGGGGGAAAAAAGCATACTTTGCTTTTCTACTTCACTTTTTTTGCCTTTTTATATACCATTACTCTCAAGCTGCCAGCTCTGAGAGGCAAGCACAATTTTTAGAAACCCCGCTGCTGCTAAAGAAAACAAATCTTGAAATTCTGTGGTGGCTTTTAAAAATAAATGCTATTCTAAGGAAGAAGGGTTGCAGCGCGCATGTGACTTGCTTGCTCTCCTCCTCAGCGCTGTCTGAGTGCTTCCAGGGGGGCTGTCAGGCAGCAGCGCTCCTGGGCTATGCCTCAAGGCTTCAGGTGGGCTGTTTTTTTGCTGCAAAATCCTCATGTTTTGATGAACGCCTGCGACCTCAGTTACCTACCTCAGCTGAAAGGTTACACCCAGCAAGCCGTGCTGGCTGGGGTCACCCTCGGCCCTCAGACAAACTCAAGCCCTTCTTGCTATTTGCAGTGGGAGTGTTAACGCTCGCCTGTGCTTCCCCATATGCCGCAAGCTGTCGGGCTGCGTCAACGCTGCGCAGCCAGTGCCTGATTTCCCAATCCGCGCTGCCAGAAGGGTGGCGTGGAGGTTTATTTTTACCCGCTATGTCTCC